GTGGTGCGTCCTCCCGCCCCCCCCCCCCGGTTTCCATAGCAACTTCGGGCTGGCAGTGCTCTGTTCCCACTCTCGAATATGCTTAAAGAGCTTTGAGAAGCATGCACAACAAACTCACACAAATGTGCTGCTCTGTAACTGTGAAGCTCACATCCAAGTTTGTAGTCCAGCTGCTTGTGCCCACACAGTGTTTAAGCAAACTGAGCTGGCTGTGAATTAGTTTCAAAGCTTGGAAAGGCTCAGTTACAGTGTGTGTGTGTGTGTGTGTGTGTGTGTGTGTGTGTGTGTCCATAACCATCCACTGGGATTTTCTTGTGAGAAACAGATAAAACAGTAAAGGTAAACCTGAAAGCCCTCTGAACATCTCTATTTGATGTCAATTAGGGCATCTACAGTATAACTTAAACCAGGCAAAGTCAGGCAAAACCATAAGTGTGAGCTTCATGGTGGTACTAGAAGAATAGTCAAGAGGACCCACAGAGCCATCGGGATTCATCCTCTGAGTACCATCTTCCATTCAACAGCTGCTGAGATATTTATCCATTCATCCTGAACAGGGTCACGGCAGGATGGAGCCAATCCCAGCTGACAATGGGCGACAGGCGGGGTACACCCTGGACAGGTCGCCAGTCTATCACTTAGAGACAATCAACCACACACACTCACTCCTACAGGCAATTTAGAGTCACCAGTCAATCTAAGCTGCATGTCTTTGGACTGTGGGCAGAGAACCCACGCAGGCACAGGGAGACTCCACATGCAGACTCCACATAGGAAAGCACTGGGTTGGCCTTGGCTCGTACCGGGAACCTTGATGCTGTGAGGTGACAGCGCTAACCACTGTGCCACCATGCCTCTACCATGCTGCTGAGACTAAAAACCAAAAATGTTAATATCACCAGAAGAAAAGCCAGGTGACCTCCAGAGTCAGTAGGAGCCATCCTCTGGAAAACATGATTGTACAAAATGTAATGTTAATTCATCCAATTACTGCTGGGATATTTCAGTTTGGACCAAAGCTGTGGAGTGAACGACCAATCAGGGCTTAAGAGCTGACAGCGGAGAAGACATGAGGAGTCTGATATCACTGTTCTATGCCTTCACAGGCGACAGAGGAAATTTATGACAATAAGAAAAGACTTTACTCTTCTCCTGTTGTTTCTATCAGTGCTTGTAGACGCTGGGGGCACTGACACACTAGATCAAAGACTTACTTTCCAATATTATATCCACCTCTTGAAAAACATGTCACACAAGGAAGTTGAGTGTCTAATTATACTGTAACTAGAAACAGCCCATTCAGAGGGAGCAGGAAATACAGATGCAATCTGTGAGAATGTATTGTTGGTTTTTACAAATGGAACTAATTTAATATGTTTTTCACAAGTGACTGCTCTGTTTGTTTGATGGAAATAAATCTGTCTATCGAATGTTGTAGCTTGGGCTTTTATTTAGACTATCGCTACATTTGTTTATTTGAGGTGACACGACTGAAGATATTTAGTCTTTTGTGTTGACAACCAACCTTTAAGCTGTTAAATCCCAGCCTTTTCCTGCCTGCTCCCATTTCTTTAAACTTCATGTTTTTGATTGTAATACGTAAAATATTACCACGCCGACAGGACAAATAGTTTAGAATTGGGTTATTGACTATACATAGCTCCTATGAAGTAGATGGATGGAGACTGAATGTCTGTATCCTGGAAGGAAACTACTGCACATCACGTTTGATCCAAGGGAGCATGTGGCAATGCCAGTTGATAACTGAGCCTGGAAAAAAAAAAAAGCTGATTATCTTATTAAAAACCTGCCACCAAATATTTCCAGTACTTCAATGTGACTCTGTGACATTAAACATATTCAAGTCAGAGCACTGCTACTTAAGCTAAACACTCATGTATTTGCTGCACTTACAAAAACCAACATGATTAATATTATTAGCTCTGATATTAGGTTAAAAATGTCAGTGGATAGGCTCAGTCAGAATAAACCATCTGTTATGACAGGACCATCTTTAGGATAAGTGGTATAGATAATGGGTGGACAGACATGATTGATAAGATTAAGGGACTGGTGAACAATCAGACTGTCACTGTGTTGCCATCAATCTTTCAATGGCAAATGACAGGAACAGAAAGCTAATAGGGTATAAAATGAATTACTGTCAATCTGTCAGTTAGAAACATTAAGTCTTTGTTGCCCTTAACATGTTACAGTCCTTGCACTGTTTGAAGATAACGCTGATGGCAAGAGGGTGGAGCCGGGTCCTCAGAACACGTAGCTACAGCAGAAACCAATTTTTGGTCTTGAGCAATAGGGGTAAGCTGCAATAACACTGACAATGAAAGACACTACGTTAAGTAAGCAAAAGTCATTTAAGGAAAAGGGGAAACAAAATAAGTGAAACTAAATCTGGCAAAATTCAAAACAGATGTCGCTCATCAACTACAGCTGTCAAGCATCAGGCTATTGCAAGATTAAACCCACCTTTACCAAGAAGTTGCCATCATCCTCTGGAGTCACCATGACGACGGAGTCATGCAGCTTTTCATCGAAGTGAACATGTGATGGGGCGCCAGCAGCAGGGGGTTCTTCTGAAAAGCGCACGCCTCCTCCCTTTGCACAACCTGAGAAATAGGAAAGAGACACTGAAGGTGGGATATGAACACAAACACTCACACTGGGCCCCTTTAAAGGGAGAAAGGATGCGTTAAACAGCAGCAGGCAAGTCCTCTTACTGACATGAAGGAGTGTACAGCAGAGCAGTTTACAAAGGCAGTCACTCAAACCTGTTCTGGTACTTTGAATACACATGGAGCTGTGAAGGCCTGAAAAGTACACACAGCATGTATTTATGCAAACATACAGTACGCTCCAGCATAATTATTATGTAGTGTGAACAGAGCTTTCATAATGAATGCTGGCAGGACCGAGGGAGAAATAAAGGGAAATGACGGAAAGCAAACACAAGAAGATGAAACGAATTTAACAGTTTTCTTCTCTTCAAAAATTGAAAAATAAATAATATAAATTTCATATAAGCAATCCACAGGCACTACAAGCGAACGCAGTGTGCCATCAGACATTTCATTCCATTACAAAATCTCCTCCCTCCCAAAATAAAGTCCTTAAGAAGTTTAGGCTTACAAGCTAAACACTATTTCCCTTTAGGTTTTGCTGCTCTGTCTGACACAGAGACCTGCTAAAATTTATTGTTCTCTAAGCCATCACTCCCAGCATGGGTGAATGGAAACTTGTTCTCCAAATAAACCCCCTCCTCCCAGAAAAACAATACTTTGAGAGAGAACAAACAATTTGCCTGACTTTCTACTCAAACGGCTCTGGATCCGATTATAGAGCATCACTTTCCCAGACCTCACAAAAGAGGGCAAAATATGTACCGAAGCTAAACAAGACAGAGATAAATAATACAAAGTATGTGGGTACACAGGCTTCTCCTGCTACATTTAAATGGCCTTTTAAATGTTTATTATATATTCTAATAATAGGAGGTTGTCCTTTAAGAGACACTATCCATCACTTAAACTTTAATGACAATTCTCATAGAAACTTTTTGGAAAAGTGTTGTTTCTGTGTGCACGCTGTGTGCAAATTTGACCAGCATCATACTGTTTATTTCACAACCACAGACACTTTCTGGGCACCATGTTGCTCATTACCATCCTTCACAAAATACTTGATTTATTCGAACCTTCGCAGATGCTCTAGTCAGCCATATGGCCTTGGCTTGAGCTCTACCTATTACCTACTCTCCCTACTGTGTCACAACCAGGCACAGATGTGTGTTTGTATCTGTACATAATCACCTTCTACAATAAAAAAAAATCCCACCATTTCCCTTCTGATCTAGCTGTTTTTGTGCTGCTTCTTTGGCTCAGGTGTCTTTTATAGCCACAGGGTGCTGTTGCAAACACGAGGCTTTTCACCACCACACTGAACAGGTATCCGGATTCAACATTATTAATTTAGCAAGCTAGATGCTGGCTTAGTTAATACTGGCTGCAAAACAAGGCGAGAGGACAGCAGTCACCAATTGACTTTACTTTACTTTTCCTCATTTACAGCAGGATGAAAACTATAAGCTACAAGTGTTATAAAATATGCCCGACTAGATTAAATCATGGTTTGTTAAATGATGTGGCTGTAATTTGGGATATGCCTCTTCTTTTGCTAACATATAATGGCTCACATTTAATTTCTCCTTCTCAGTGTACAAACCTGAAATGTGCATTTAAAGCTGCTCTAGCCAATATTTACATATTAACATAGGCTCACATGAGTACAAGCAATGTGGAAAAAGTTGTTTATAGAGACAAACCCACAGAGACTTATCACCCAGCTCCCTTCACCGTTCAACAAACTGTTTTGGATTTATTGTTCACAACTCTATTATTTTGTTTTAGTCTCACTAGTGAAGCATGCTGCTCTTTTCAGAAAAAAAAAGAGCTTAAAAACCAACTGCACACCATCTCCCCAGCAGTAGTAGGCAAACAGACAGCTAGCAACAAGCTGGTAAACCAGGTGGAGCATTTAGCAGATAGGATATAAAGGCCAGATATTTCCCTCAGGAGTTGGTGGAAATCACAGCAGAGCTACAAAAGTAGATTGAATATTGAATTTACATTTGCCACATGGCTGGAAATAAAACTTCAAATAAAATGAGTGGGTAATATTAATGAGTAAAGTCTATACTGTATAATTATTCCAGCCCATTTAACTGAAATCATAAACTGGGTTATGTCCTTGTATTACATGAAGCACAGGCCACTGCTGTCCCTCTTGAGCCCAGCTCCATTAAACTTTCATTCAGACTCATACAAGAGATTAGAAATCCTTCCTATCAACAATTTGGGTCACAATAATGAGTTCAGGAGTTACATCATGTTCCATATGCATAGATCATTGTGCAGAAACATAAAGAGGAAATGAGGAATGCTGCTTAATGCCCAAAGCTCTGTACAGTATACCAAGCATAGTACTAAACTGTATGACATTTGCATGTCAGTGACATATTATGACCCTGTTTTATCACCATTCACTTTATAACACTGACTGTACTGTTACTCTTCTTCTTGTATTTTCCCACATTGTCAAATCTTGTTTTTAATGATAACATCAGTGTTGCTAAACACACAAACACAAGTGTCTATATTACATTATCAGTTTTCATTTTTTATGTTCATTTCTGAAAGCGTGTTCTTCCATCATGGAAAACGGACACATGGCCTCAGCTGCTATTGCTTTAACGCCAGGCAGAGGCACAAATCGGCTGCAGATAGGAACTGCACACGATGCCATTGTTGCCAGATTTACTCAAACTTGACCCTGAATCTAAAAATGATTTCATTTCAAACTGTAGATTGTGTTAGTTTTCTAAAAGGTGTCATCTTTTCCTTCATCTCATTCATTAGCTGCGCCCATACCGGAATTTTAACATCGATGGTTGCTTGTTTCTCAGCAAAATGCACCTTGGGAATCACTGGTGACTTCTCCACTTTTGTTTTTATTTGTAGTAGCAATAGTTTTATTTATAGCCTTGGAAGTGCCCCAGTTGTTAATCTCCTTACACTGTCTGCACAAAGTTTATGTTACTTCCACCCTGTATATCCAAAATAACTTATGCCATTTCACAACTCCAGGAATGTAGCACTGTTCAAGTTCATCAGCTGTCACAATGTAGAGGGTACTGCAATGTGCACGAAAGCACTACTCGTCCCGTCCTGTCCTCAGGAATCTAGCACAGCCTAAGCAGTAACTGCCATAAAGAATCTACACATCACCTGAGGACATGAGCAATAAATACAACTCTTGTTCAAGATTTAATATGCAACATGAGCTAGATCATCGCTATCTCTACAGTGTTAGTGTACAATTTATTCATGTTTCTGATCTGGCACCTGAAATGCTCTTAATTCCTCAGTGGCCAATAAATCAGTTGCACA